CCCTCCGTGAGCAGCCCGTGCGGCCGCACCGGGATCTTGATGGACTTCAGCGCGTACAGGTCCTGCTCCCGGATGAAGTTGTTGACGCGTTTGATATCTGCAACCTAAGGAATCCAGAAAGGACACAAACAGTGAGGGCAGGACAGCCCAGGAGTGAGGCAGGAAGCAGCTACAAAACCAGTGTGCCAGGAGCCATCAGGGAATAAAAGCAGGCCCTGGATGCAGGTGGTTTGATGTTCTGAGAGATTCTCCAGCAGTTCCAGGGGTGCTCCAGGCCCTACAGGATAGAGTCAGTCCCGTGTGAAACCAGTCTACAACCTCCGTCTCTGGTACCTGCTGTATTCTGCTCCATACTGCTCTTCCTTCTCCTTGCTTTCTTTGCCCTTCTTTCAGTTAAGGCAAGAAGAATCTTTTTAACTAAGAGATCCTTTTAAAAACTATTCTCATACCTTACAGGAGTGCTTAAGGTGAGAGCACACCACCAGTGTGAGCACCCCCTGCTCAGGAAATTATTTCAGAGTGATCAGAGCTCCATTTTGGGAGCACAGCAGTTGTGAAAGCAAGGGCACAGCCTGGAGAGGAGGTGAGGATCTCCCAGGCAGGCACGAGCATCCTCTGCTCAGGGAACAGCTCTCTGCTGCAGGACAGAGCTCATCCAGCCCGTTCCTCCTGAGCATGGACAATCCCCTCTGCTCCTGTCACCACCTCTGGTGGCTCCTGTCTGTGAGCTGTGTCCCCACCCAGCAGCCACACGTGCAGCATCAGGCACAGGCAGTGCCAATGCAAGGACAAAGGCACGGCACCATCCCTCAGTTAACCAAGAGAAGATGCTTCATCCAGTGGCCACTCACAGGCACCCAGCAAGCACAGCAACTGCTCAGTGGCACTAAAGCCTCTGCCAAAGGAAAGGAACAGGATGTCAGCGTGTGCCAGGAGCTCTCTGCTGCAGCCAAGGAGATGTGAAAGAACCTTGAGGAGAAGGCTGGAGGGCACATAAACCAGCAAGAGCCAAGGCAAAGAGAAAGGCAACACAAACAGGTGAAGCACCTCTCATCCATCACAGCAGAGACACAGCACAGGGACTGTGCCTTGCTCTTCAGAAATCACAGCATGACCTGCATTCACCGCACACACGCTTGAGGCTGCCAAGGAAACTGGGGAGCTAAAACAAAAAAACCCACTTTACTTCCTAAGCACTCTGCTCAGAGGTACAGAGGAAAGGAGATGGAGGACTGAATCTCATGTTTACTCCACAAAGCTTGAGAACTCTGAAAATGGCACATTTAATCCAGGACCTGATCTGGGGACCCTGAGGCAAAAGGAATCCTCAGTCACTGCTTTGGGCTCCTCACAGCCAGCCCCAGTGTCGGCTCTGGACTTAAACCCTGCAAAATTTCTTAGTTATGAAATAACAATCTCACCCAGAGCCTCCTAACTGAGGTGCTGCTCCAATTTCTGGATTTGTTCCAATGAAAACAAATTACTGGGACAGTAAATATCCCCCGTGGTGTCTGCAATCAAATACTGCAGTGTGGTGCTAAGACTCTAGAAACAGAAAGTGGAGCAGCACTCACACAGAAACAACAAACAATGCTGATGGGAAGCAGCGAGAGCTTGGGCTGCACAAGCATTTAAGCTTATTTTTTGTACTCATTTTTTGGCTGCAGCGAGCTCCTCTTGTCCCAGCCCAAGAACAATGCCAAAAGCAAGCCAGGACTATAAATGGTCAAGAGTAAAAATGAGAATTTTGAAGTGCTTTGCCTCTCTGCCAAGTTATCTGTGGCACACACACAGAGCTATTTGTTGCACTGTCTTACTATCCCCTCCCCAAGCAGATTCTGAAACCAATACCAAGTTCTCATTGATTTCAAGGAGAAGTTCCTTCTGGATTTTTACACACATTTGCCTATATAGATGTGGTTACAGTCCTCACCACTGTCCTGGTGACCTTTCAGGAGCTGTTTAATTGTGCAAATAAAATAAAACACATGAAAACTGTCATGCCAGTCTTTAAAAGAGACAAATAGACAAATCTCCTGCCATAAGGACTTCTGTATCTGTTCAGTTTAACTGGAACAAGTCAGAAGTGCCCTTTCTGGAAGGGAGGGGGGCAGCAGGACAGTTTTTGTCCTGTGGGAGGAGAACACTGCCTATGTGGTGCTCATCAGCTTGCTTTTCCCCTGGGCAGGCCCAGCAGGCTCCAGAGGGGCTGAAAGGCTCCAGGAATGGGGCAGCAGAGAACACAACTGAGCCACAGCAGGGACAGAACTGGGTGACAGTGCAGAGGCACAGCCAGACTCTTCATAAACCAAAGAACTGCTCAGAATCTCCCTCCTCTGAGTTCACCAACTGCTGTGCCAGCCCAGGTGCTGCTGAGAGCAGCACACAGCACACACCCAGCCACAGCTCAGCTCTGCCTTCTCAGGCTCTCCCGGGGCCGATCAAGGCCCATTCAAGTCCTACCAGACTCACTTCTCCACACACATCGGGCTCGTCAGCACAACCTACAAGGGTGCCTTTTTTGTTTTGCTTTTGTTTCTAAGGGCATGGGAGGGGAGGAATTGCTGCAATCCCTCTAAGGCCTCTTGCCTCAGCTGCACCATACAGCTGCTGTGTGGTTAAGCAAGACAGACTGCACTGGCAGGGCAGCACTGGAGCCAGAGCTGTGTCATTATCCCCTCTGTGGTTACAGGCCAATTGTGTCATCATGGAACTCTGAAATCACAGTCCCGCTTGCAGATAAAGGGGGCTCTAAAAATACAGCTCCAACTGCTGAACAACAGGGGGCTTCTAATGTTCAGAGCAGGTAATTCAACTTTCCAGCAGTTTTGCTCTTTTTTGGAACAAAGAAAACATGCTGTAGTTGTTCCAACTGAGAAATCTCCCTGTGCACACGCCCTCCCTCCTGCCCAAGGCACCTGAACTGTACAAGCTTGGGATGACAGCAAACAACCAAAACCCAAACACAGACAGCACCTGGACTTTGGGACTGAACTTTGGTGCCTCTCCACGTCTCCTCTGTTAGACTCAGACCTTCCTTGCAAAATGTAAGCTGATACCTTTCAAAAAATAAACAAAAAACCTCACCCATAACTGCGGTGTTTCTTTGTGCTGCTCAATTTGCTTCAAAAACTCCACTGTTCCTTGAGAGCAGAGCCCTCATTTCTACACTCAGCTCCCTAATGTTTGCCCTCACTGAAATAACTTGGTACAACCTGCATTTAGTCACTGAAATTAAACAGGAAACCAGGTCAGGCAGGGTGTGAGGCTGACAACATCTTCCCAGGCTTTTGGCTGAACAACCATTTTTTGTGTTTGTCTGGGGTTATTTTTGCTCACCTTACAGCCGTACTGCAGGGCCAGCTTGTTGAGGCTGTCCTCCTCGGTGAGCTCCCTCTCCAGGAGCACCACGTCCCCCGGCCTGCCCCGGGCGGCGCTGCCCCGCTGCTGCTCCTTGCCCCGGGGCCGCAATTCCATCACGTTCAGCTCCTCCTCCGAGGACTCCTCCGAGTCGGAGCGGCCACTGGGGAACACGAACAGCTGCCTGCCCGGGAAGGTGTGCACAGTGGCAGGGGCCTGGAAGGGTCTTGTCCGGCTCTCGTGCAGCCTCATCTTTCACACCGGCAGCACCTGAAACAAAACCCAGACACTTTCAGTTTCCTCAAGACCAGCGTTTAGCACTGCAATCAGTATTTTTTTCCAATTTGGTTTTTTTTTTTTTTTTGGTCTGCCTGTGAACAAACCACCTTATAACTATGTTGCTCAACATTTTAAATGTTACATTCTATAATTTTATTTAAAAGGCAACACAGTCCCTTGAGCAAACGGTCTTTAATTACAGCCAAAACATACATCGGGTTTACCAACAGACATTAAAAACTGAGCAAAGTTATCCTTTTCATAAATCCTTAGCTCTCTACACTTTAGCAATCACATTTTAAGCTCTTGGAAAAGCACTTTTTTTTTTTTAAAGTATGGACAGCTCATGCTATACTCAACTTCAACCCGAATAACAAGGCTTCATTTTGCTGCATGAAGACTAGAACCTGTCTGAGCACTTTAATTATTGTTCAGCCTACAGCTGCGAGATCGGGTTG